TATATATATTATATTATATACATATATATAATAGGTAGTAGGTTGGTAGACAGCAACCACCCAGGGAAGTTACTCCCGTCCTGCAGATGACTGTGAAACAAAACCTGTAACTGTTTTGCATGATGGTAGGATTGCTGGTTTCTTTTTCTGTTTCATAAACACGCAAAGATAACAGGGATATCTTGCTACTCCTACTTACACTTTGGTCAAAATTTCCCTAGACACGCACATGCATATATTATATACATACATCTAGGTTTTTCTCCTTTTTCTAAATAGCTCTTGTTCTTTTTATTTCTTCTTTGTCCATGGGGAAGTGGAAAAGAATCTTTCCTCCGTAAGCATGCGTGTCGTATGAGGCGACTAAAATGCCGGGAGCAAGGGCTAGTAACCCCTTCTCCTGTATACAATTACTAAAAAAGAGAAGAAGAAAAACTTTATAAAACTGGGTTGTTTAAATGTGCGTGGATGTAGTGCGGATGACAAGAAAAGATGATTGCTGATGTTATGAATGAAAAGAAGTTGGATGTCCTGGCCCTAAGCGAAAAAAAGCTGAAGGGGGTTAGGAGAGTTTCAGTGGGGGGAAAAAATGGATTAAATCTGGAGTATCTGAGAGAGTTAGAGCAAAGGAAGGGGTAGCAGTAATGTTAAATGATCAGTTATGGAAGGGGGAAAAGAGAATATTGAATGTGTAAATTAAAGAATTTTTGTGGTTTAAAAGTAAAGGTTGGATGCGAGAAGTGGGTCATAATAAGCGTGTATGCACCTGGAGAGAGAGGAATGCAGGGAGAGAGAGAGATTTTGGGAGATGTTAAGTGAATGTATAGGAGCCTTTGAACCAAGTGAGAGAGTAATTGTGGTAGGGGACTTGAATGCTAAAGTAGGAGAAATTTTTAGAGAGGTGTGGTAGGTAAGTTTGGGTGCCAGGTGTAAATGATAATGGGAGCTCTTTGATTGAACTTTGTATAGAAAGGGGTTTAGTTATAGGTAATACATATTTTAAGAAAAAGAGGATAAATAAGTATACACGATATGATGTGGGGCGAAATGACAGTAGTTTGTTGGATTATGTATTGGTTAGATAAAAGACTGTTGAGTAGACTTCAGGATGTACATGTTTATAGAGGGGCCACAGATATATAGATCACTTTCTAGTTGTAGCTACACTGAGAGAAAAAGGGTGATGGGATACAAGGAGAATAGAAGCATCGGGGAAGAGAGAGGAAAAGGGGTTTTTAACTAAAAGAGGAGGCAGTTAGGGTAAGATATAAACAGCTATTGGAGGATAGATGGGTAATGAGAGCATAGGCAATGGGGTCGAAGAGGTATGGGGTAGGTTTAAAAATGTAGTGTTAGAGTGTTCAGCAGAGTTTGTGGTTACAGAAAGTGGGTGCAGGAGGGAAGAGGAGCGTTTGGGTGGAATGATGATGTAAAGAGAGTAGTAAGGGAGAAAAAGTTAGCATTGAGAAGTTTTTACAAAGTAGAAGTGATGAAAGGAGGGAAGAGTATATGGAGAAAAAGGGGAGAAGTTAAGAGAGTGATGAAGCAATGTAAAAAGAGAGCAAATGAGAGAGGGGGTGAGATGTTATCAACAAATTTTGTTGAAAATAAGAAAAAGTTTTGGAGTGAGATTAACAATTTAAAGAAAGCCTAGAGAACAAATGGTTTTGTCAGTTAAAATAGGAGAGGAGAGTTATTAAATGGAGAGTTAGAGGTATTGGGAGATGGAAGGAATATTTTGAGGAATTGTTAAATGTTGATGAAGATAGGGAAGCTGTGATTTCGTGTATGGGGCAAGGAGGAAAACATCTTGTAGGAGTGAGGAAGAGCCAGTTGTGAGTGTGGGGGAAGTTCGTGAGGCAGTAGGTAAAATGAAAGGGGGTAAGGCAGCCGGGATTGATGGGTAAAGATAGAAATGTTAAAAGCAGGTGGGGATATAGTTTTTGGAGTGGTTGGGCAATTATTTAATAAATGTAGGAAAGAGGGTAAGGTACCTAGGGATTGGCAGAGAGCATTGCATAGTTTCCTTTGTAAAAAGGCAAAGGGGATAAAAGAGAGTGCAAAAATTATAGGGGGATAAGTCTGTTGAGTGTACCTGGTAAAGTGGGATGGTAGAGTTATTTAAATTTAAAGAATTAAGAGTAAGACGGAGAATAGGATAGCAAGATGAACAAGGAGGCTTTAGGAAAGGTAGGGGTGTGTGTGGACCCGGTGTTTACAGTGAAACAATATAAGTGAACAGTATTTAGATAAGGCTAAAGAGGTCTTTGTGGCATTTATGGATTTGGAAAAGGCGTAGACAGGGTGGATTTGGGGGGCAATGTGGCAGATGTTGCAAGTGTATGGTGTAGGAGGTAGGTTTCTGAAAGCAGTTTAAGAGTTTTACGAGGATAGTGAGGCTCAAGTAGAGTATGTAGGAAAGAGGGAAATTTTTTCCAGTAAAAAGTAGGCTTAGACAAGGATGTGTGATGTCAACGTGGTTGTTTAATATATTTATTTGATGGGGTTGTAAGAGAAGTAAATGCGAGGGTCTTGGCAAGAGGCGTGGAGTTTAAAAGATAAAGAATCACACACAAAGTGGGAGTTGTCACAGCTGCTCTTTGCTGATGACACTGTGCTCTTGGGAGATTCTGAAGAGAAGTTGCAGAGTTTGGTGGATGAATTTGGGAGGGTGTGCAAAGAAGAAAATTAAAGGTGAATACAGGAAAGGTAAGGTTATTTTAGGATAACAAAAGATTAGGTGATGAAATTGAAAATCAGATTGGGGGAGAGAGTATGGGAGGAGGTGAACGTATTCAGATATTTGGGAGTGGACGTGTCAGCGGATGGGTTATGAAAGAGAGGGAATCATAGAATTGATGAGGGAAAAAAGAGTGGGGTGGTTGCACTTAGGAGTCTGTGGAGACCAGAACTTGGCCTTGGAGGCAAAGGGGGAATGTATGAGAGTATAGTTTTACCAAAGCTCTATATGGGTGTGAAGCGTGGGTGATGATGTTGCAGCGAGGAGAAGGCTGGAGGCAGTGGAGATGTCATGTCTGAGGGCAATGTGTGGGTTTTGATATAATGCAGAGAATTCGTAGTTTGGAAGTTAGGAGGGGGTGCGCGGGATTACCAAACTGTTGTCCAGAGGGCTGAGGAAGGGTTGTTGAGGGGTTCGGACATGTGAGAGAAAGGAGCGAAACAGAATGACTTCAAGAGTGTATCAGTCTGTAGTGGAAGGAAGGGGGGTAGGGGTCGGCCCTAGGAAGGGTTGGAGGGGAGGGGGTAAAGGAGGTTTTGTGTGCGGGGGCTTGGACTTCCAGCAGGCATGCGTGAGCGTGTTTGTAGGGAGTGAATGGAGACCAAATGGTTTTTAATACTTGACGTGCTGTTGGAGTGTGAGCAAAGTAAAATTTATTGAAGGATTCAGGGAACCGGCAGGCCGACTTGAGTCCTGGAGATGGGAAAGTACAGTGCCTGCACTCTGAAGGTGGGTGTTAATGTTGCAGTTTAAAAACTTTTAGTGTAAAGCACCCTTCTGGCAAGGGCAGTGATGGGGGTGAATGATGGTGAAAGTTTTTCTTTTTCGGGCCACCCCTGCCTTGGTGGGAATCGGCCGGTGTGATAATAAAAAAAAAAACATATATATTATATATTTTATATTATTATATATATATATATATATATATATATAATATATATATATAATATATATATTATATATTACCTGGAGCTTACCTGGAGAGGGTTTTCGGGGGTCAACGCCCCTGCAGCCCGGTCTGACACCATGCCTCATGGTGGATCAGGGTCTGTTCAACTTTACGTGCCTGTCCAATGCCTTCTTGAAGACAGGGGTCTATTGGCAATCCCCCTTATGTATGCTGGGAGACAGTTGAATAGTCTTGGGCCCCGGACACTTATTGTGTTGTCTCTCACTGTACTCGTGGCGCCCCTGCTTTTCATCGGGGAATGTTGCATCTCCTGCCGAGTCTTTTGCTTCAGATTATGTTCAATGACCTCAATTATAGAGGATTCGAGCTTGAACAAGCCAAAACTATTATATAATGAATGTTTATTGAATTTTATAATTGCCCATTTTAAAATACTTCTTTCCAGCCTAGAGGAGCAAGGAACCAGGACTCTAGCTTCCGACTAATTTGCAGGGTTATTGCAAGCCCGGGTGTGATTGAATATCGCATTTGATACCTGAGCTATTTGTATTGAATATCAATGTTGTGTTAACCTAACATCTAGAGTCTTGTCAGTCTGTCCCATGAAAGACAAGTTGCAGCCATTACGATCAGTCCTACAATACCACCAACAGTGTTGAGGGGAATTCTTAATCAAAATATTTTTAACCATCTGTGAATTCTTAGAAACTGCTTGTATGTTGAATCTTTTCAGGGTATTTGGCAGGACAGATAAATTCTTATTGTATGGGAGAACCAGACCATTCTTTATCTTAGGTTATCCTTGGTTAATCTCTATGGTAAGTCTTCCTAGTTGCCAGCAAAGCAATTTTTACAAACTCCTTAGGGTACCATAGTTTTGAAGCAATATCAGATATTTTCCTAATTTCCCCATCGAGAAGCTCTGGGCTGCACAATCGGTAGACTTTCAGAAACATGGTGAGAAAGAGACTCTTTATTATCCTGTTTCATGGTTATAGTAGCAATGGGTGTATAAACAAAAATGGCCTTCCTATATACTATAAATTTTAACTTTCTATCAATCCTGTGTATCATAGCATCGACTAATGGAAGTTTAAGGTCCACCTCTTTCTCCACAGTGAATTTAATAGACGGGGACAAGAGCTTAGTCTTAAAAAAAAACTCCATATATAGATTGCTTAGCAAGAGAGACAAAGGATTCCCCCAGTCATTCCCTCCCTTTGAAAGTAATATTTCCCTTCAAAATCAAATTTGCAATCAACTGTACACAACTTAATGATCTCAATAATGAATGTATTTTAATAACTGTTTTGGTAAACTGTGGACAATAATGCATTGGACTTTACTTACCTCTACAATTATTTCTTGGTCCTTTCTTACTTTTGCGTCTGGAAAAGCTTGGGTGAACTCTCTTTCAAGCAAGTTTAACTCCTTGATGATGTTTTCAACATCATCTTGGCACATGGGTATCCCTAGGTTGTCGTCATCCCTCGCCTGGCACCTGCCGTGATTGTAAATGTTATGGTGGTGTAGACAAGATGTACAGGACACTTACGTACAGGTCAGCACATTTAATAAAGGAAACGTTTCGTCACGAGTGTTTTTTTTTTTCAACACTGTCATTTTTACTCTTGAAACTATATGGAGTCTGCCTCTACCACCTTTTTTTTATCGACATCCATCTACTTCCTGAGCACCCTGAGGCTAAAGAAATACTTCCTGATATCAATTTGAAAAATCTGTGCCTCAAACTTAAATATCTGCTCTCATGTACCTGTTTCCCGATCCTCAAACTGCCCATCTCACTTTACCATGTCAGTTTCCCTTACCATGTTGTACATTTTTGTGTCCCGTTGGTGTCACGTAGCTCGATTGGCAGCGAACTCAGCGCGCGCGCACACACTGAGGTCCGTGGTTCGATCCCCGGTACGGATGAAAACATTGGGACGTGTTTCCTTAAGACACCTGCTGTCCTTGTTCAACTATCAGTAAGTAGGTACCTGGGTGTTAGTCGACTGGTGTGAGTCTCATCCTGGGACAAAACTTTCTTAATTTGCGTGGAATACTCTGCATAACAATCAGCTTTCTATATTGTAGTATGTCACTGATGTCAGCTATGGTAGTATGTCACTGATGTCAGCTATGGTAGTATGTCACTGATGTCAACTATGGTAGTATGTCACTGATGTCAGTATAGGTAGTATGTCACTGATGTCAACTATGGTAGTATGTCACTGATGTCAACTATGGTAGTATGTCATTGATGTCAACTATGGTAGTATGTCACTGATGTCAACTATGGTAGTATGTCACTGATGTCAGCTATGGTAGTATGTCACTGATGTCAGCTATGGTAGTATGTCACTGATGTCAACTATGGTAGTATGTCACTGATGTCAGCTATGGTAGTATGTCACTGATGTCAGCTATGGTAGTATGTCACTGATGTCAACTATGGTAGTATGTCACTGATGTCAACTATGGTAGTATGTCACTGATGTCAACTATGGTAGTATGTCACTGATGTCAACTATGGTAGTATGTCACTGATGTCAACTATGGTAGTATGTCACTGATGTCAGCTATGGTAGTATGTCACTGATGTCACTATGGTAGTATGTCACTGATGTCAGCTATGGTAGTATGTCACTGATGTCAGCTATGGTAGTATGTCACTGATGTCAGCTATGGTAGTATGTCACTGATGTCAGCTATGGTAGTATGTCACTGATGTCAACTATGGTAGTATGTCACTGATGTCAACTATGGTAGTATGTCACTGATGTCAACTATGGTAGTATGTCACTGATGTCAACTATGGTAGTATGTCACTGATGTCAACTATGGTAGTATGTCACTGATGTCAGCTATGGTAGTATGTCACTGATGTCACTATGGAGTATGTCCGATGTCAACTATGGTAGTATGTTCACTGATGTCAGCTATGGTAGTATGTCACTGATGTCAGCTATGGTAGTATGTCACTGATGTCAACTATGGTAGTATGTCACTGATGTCAGCTATGGTAGTATGTCACTGATGTCAGCTATGGTAGTATGTCACTGATGTCAGCTATGGTAGTATGTCACTGATGTCAGCTATGGTAGTATGTCACTGATGTCAACTATGGTAGTATGTCACTGATGTCAGCTATGGTAGTATGTCACTGATGTCATACTATGGTAGTATGTCACTGATGTCAACTATGGTAGTATGTCACTGATGTCAACTATGGTAGTATGTCACTGATGTCAACTATGGTAGTATGTCACTGATGTCAACTATGGTAGTATGTCACTGATGTCAACTATGGTAGTATGTCACTGATGTCAACTATGGTAGTATGTCACTGATGTCAACTATGGTAGTATGTCACTGATGTCAACTATGGTAGTATGTCACTGATGTCATACTATGGTAGTATGTCACTGATTCAACTATGGTAGTATGTCACTGATGTCAACTATTGGTAGTATGTCACTGATGTCAACTATGGTAGTATGTCACTGATGTCAACTATGGTAGTATTGTCACTGATGTCAACTATGGTAGTAGTCACTGATGTCAACTATGGTAGTATGTCACTGATGTCAACTATGGTAGTATGTCACTGATGTCAACTATGGTAGTATGTCACTGATGTCAACTATGGTAGTATGTCACTGATGTCAACTATGGTAGTATGTCACTGATGTCAACTATGGTAGTATGTCACTGATGTCAACTATGGTAGTATGTCACTGATGTCAACTATGGTAGTATGTCACTGATGTCAGCTATGGTAGTATGTCACTGATGTCAGCTATGGTAGTATGTCACTGATGTCAGCTATTGTAGTATGTCACTGAAGTCAACTATGGTAGTATGTCACTGATGTCAACTATGGTAGTATGTCACTGATGTCAGCTATGGTAGTATGTCACTGATGTCAGCTATGGTAGTATGTCACTGATGTCAACTATGGTAGTATGTCACTGTTGTCAGCTATGGTAGTATGTCACTGATGTCAGCTATGGTAGTATGTCACTGATGTCAACTATGGTAGTATGTCACTGATGTCAACTATGGTAGTATGTCACTGATGTCAACTATGGTAGTATGTCACTGATGTCAACTATGGTAGTATGTCACTGATGTCAGCTATGGTAGTATGTCACTGATGTCAGCTATGGTAGTATGTCACTGATGTCAACTATGGTAGTATGTCACTGATGTCAACTATGGTAGTATGTCACTGATGTCAACTATGTAGTTGTCACTGATGTCACTATGGTAGTATGTACTGATGTCAACTATGGTAGTATGTCACTGATGTCAACTATGGTAGTATGTTTACTGATGTCAATATGGTAGTATGTCACTGATGTCAACTATGGTAGTATGTCACTGATGTCAGCTATGGTAGTATGTCACTGATGTCAGTATGGTGTATGTCACTAATGTCAACTATGGTAGTATGTCACTGATGGGCAAATATGGTATATGTCACTGATGTAACTATGGTAGTATGTCACTGTGTCAACTATGGTAGTATTTTCATGATGTCAATATGGTAGTATGTCACTGATGTCAACTATGGTAGTATGTCACTGATGTCAGCTATGGTAGTATGTCACTGATGCAGCTATGGTAGTATGTCACTGATGTCAACTATGGTAGTATGTCACTGATGTCAAACTATAGTAGTATGTCACTGATTCAACTATGGTATATGTCACTGATGTCAACTATGGTAGAGTCACTGAGTCAAATATGGTAGTAGCACTGATTCAATAGGGAGTATTCACTATGTCAACTTGGTAATTCCGTGTCACATGGTAGTATTCACGATGTCAACTATGGGAGTAGTCACTGATGTCAAATATGGTAGTATGTCATGATGTCAGCTTGGTAGTATGTCACTGAGTCAGCTATGGTAGTATGCACTGTGTCAGCTATGGGAGTATGTCACTGAAGTCAATAGGTAGTAGTCCGAGTCAAAATGGTAGTAAGTCACTGATTCAGCTATGGTAGTATGTCATGTGTCACTATGGTGTATGTCCTGATGTCAACTATGGTATATGTCAATGTCAGCTATGGTAGTATGCACTGATGTAGCTATGGGAGTATTCACTGATGTCAAAATTGGGAGTTGTCACTTATTTTAACTTGGTAGATGTCACTGTGTCAACTAGGAGTAGGCATAATCAACATGGGGTATGTCCTGATTCAGCTATGGTATGTCACTGATGTCGCTTGGGAGTATGTCACTGAGTCAACTAGGTGTATGTCACTGATTCAAATAGGGAGTAGTCACTGAGTCAACATGGATATTCACTGATTCAACTATGGTAGTATGTCACTATGTCAACTATGGATAGTCACTGATTTCAACTATGGTAGTATGTCAGAGTAAATATGGAGTATGTCACTATTCCTATGGGGAGTATGTCATGATTCACTATGGTAGTAGTCACGATGTCACTATGGTATTTGTCATGATGTCAACTATGGTGTATGTCACTGATTCAACTTTTGGAGATTCACTGAGTCAAATATGGTAGTATGTCACGATGTAAATATGGTAGATGTCCCGAGCAAATAGGTAGAAAGTCATGATGTCAACTATGGTAGTATTCACTGATGTCAGCTATGGGAGTATGTCCTGATTCAGCTATGTAGTAGTCACTGTTCAAAAAATGGTATATGTCACTGATTTAACTATGGGATATGTCCTGATGCAACTATGGTAGTATGCACGTGCAACTATGGAGTATGTCACTGATGTCAACTATGGTAGTATGTCCTGATGTCAACTATGGTATATGTCAGATGTCAAATTGGTAGATGTACTGATGTCAATATGGGAGTATGCACTGATTCACAGGTATATGTCAGATGCAAATATGGTAGAAAAACACTGATGTCAACTAGGTATATGTCACTGATGTCAACTATGGAGTATGTCACTGTGTCAACTAGGGAGTATGTCACTGATGTCAATATGTAGTATGTCCGTGTCAAATGGTAGTATTCATGAAAGTCAAATATGGTAGTATGTCCCTGATGTCAACTATGGTATATTCACAAAAGTCCATGGGATATGTACTGATGTAACTTTTAGTATTCAGATGTAACTATGGTAGTATGTCACGATGTCAACTATGGTTAGTCACTGATTCAAATTGGTAGTATGTCACGATGTCCTATGGAGTAGTCCTGATGTCGCTATGGTAGTATGTCCTGATGTCAGCTATGGTATATGTCATGAAATAAATATGGTATATGCACGATGTCAAATTGAGTATGTCACGATGTCAGCTAGGTTATGTCACTGTGTCGTATGGTAGTATGTCACTGATGTCAACTTGTAGTATGTCATGATGTCAGCTATGGGGATATGTCACTGTGTCAGCTAGGTAGTATTCATGATGCAAATTGGTAGTATGTCATTTTTCAACTATGGAGTATGCATGATGTCAACTTGGGAGTATTTCACGATGTCAATATGGTGTATTCCCC